CATTGTTGGTGTTGCAGGTTTTAATAGACAGTCTAAATAGGTTAAAATATCTTACAAAACACAATCAACAAAGCATATACATTATAACTAAGTAAAGTGCAATAGAAAAAGAACCCTTTTACCATTTCATTTATAGAGAGCACAGGAAAGAGACCAAAGTAGCTAATATATTGCAATCGTGATTGGTCAATCTCTTGAAATGAGGTAAAATCATTCAAGCATCACTGGTGTTAGCTAATCTGGGCTCTGCAGGTAGCGTTAATAACGGCAAGGACGTGGCGTAGTGAGTGGCTTTAACAACGCCACTGCCTAGTTCACACACAAAGGTGTACACTACGCCATGCTTAAGCCAGCCTTACACCGTGTGTGTGAACATAGCCATAGAGAGATGATCAAACAATCTGTTCATCAGTACTGGAAAACCTTAGGCCATAGTAATAGATCATCTGAGGGTTCTGCAACGCCAGCAGAAACCAAAGAGTTATTGCAGGATTTAAAGTAAAGGTGCCATAGGGAAGATGATCAGGATGATGACTGCCTCACTGATCTTGATTTTGGAATTGACGAAATTATCTTATCAATTAGTAAAAGCAAAAACAATAAAGCTCCAGGTATAGATTGGATCACAAACGAAATATTAAAAAACGGAGGGGATGGTATGCACCCAGCTATACTATTACTTTTTAAGCGACTGATAGCTATTGAAAGTACACCCGATGAGTGGAACAAAGGAATTATCATCCCAATTTTTAAAAAAGGAAACAAAAATGACCTAGATAACTAATAGAGGCATAACTCTTGGTTCTTGCATTGCAAAAATCTTCAATAGATTGGTCTCAGATGCTATTTTGTAATTTGTAGAGGAAAAAGACTTACTTACGGAAATCCAGGGAGGCTTTAGGAAAAACCGATGCTGTGAGGACCATATCTTTACAATAAAAAATATTGTCGGGATTAGGCAAGCAAAGGGTAAGGATACCTAAATGGCCTTCCTGGATTTCCGTAAAGCTTTTGACACAGTTTGGAGGAATAAATTGCTCATTACTGCATGGAAAATGGGAATAAAAGGAAAAGTGTGGTTAATCTTAAATAGGTTATACACAAATGTTAAAGGTAAAGTGAAAATTGGAGACATTGAAACAGATTTTTTTGATATAGATGAGGGTGTAAAGCAAGGGTGCGTTCTATCACCAATCTTATTTTCAATTTATATTAATGAGTTAGCTAAATTACTCGTAAAACAAAAAGTGGGGGTGCGGATTAATAACGTACAAATGGGGTGTCTGTTCTTTGCAGATGATGTTGTTTTAATAGCAAATAATGGGAATGAGTTACAGAAAATGCTAGATATAGCAAGCGAATTCAGTACTATATTTAAGTTGAATTTTAATCATGAAAAGTCAATTGTGCTAATAACCGGTTAAAAAAGAAATGATATGAGAATATGGCAGCTTGGCCACGGAAATATATCTGAGGTTGAGACATATAAATATTTAGGATATATTATATCTAGAAATAGAGCAGACCATAACCATATAAAAGAGTATTCCTAAGGTCAGCTGATATTTGATATTTAGTTCATGGAATTACGTATGAAACCCCACTATACTGTGATGCTTTATAAAATACCGTGTCATCAGCATATTTTACGATATTTCGCAGTTTGTCATCACCTTCATAATTGTTATATAAATGTTATCTTTTTAGGATACAATGCATGTGGCATCTTTACATGGACCTAAGAAGTGGGAATACCTTCAAGGCTTAGCAACTGGAGGTGTGTTTCTGGAGATGTGTTTTAAGCCGGGCACTCATTGCGTCCGAGGGTCATCAGCCGACGCGATACGTTGAACATCCGCTACATTAGGACTAGAATTTTCTATCCTACATGTGTTTTTTGGCAAAATTAACACATTTTTTGCTGATTACTTCCAAATCTCATAACTGTCGTGGCATTAGTTTGCCACGCACCCAATCTAATATGCATGTTACAAGAGGGTACTGTACTCCAATGTATTATCAAAATGGAAAAATTCCTCACAAGGACTATTAGGCAGAGACACTCACGCAAAAAATTATCTACAAAGAGGTCCTTTAGAGAAAAAGTGACAAGGTAACTATAACATCCTTAATGATTGTCTCCTCAATTTCCCATAACATTTAACTATATGCCTCGCCAACTTTTCACACTCATTTAACACTGTGTGGAGCACAGGTACATGCTACTGTAGTTCTAGTAATATCTGAGACTATAGTAAGGACCAAGAATTCTTAAAAATATCACATGATGATGAATATTAATTGTTATGTTATTTTATTTCCTAGAGGTTGAAGAACCCTTGCTGATTCTGGCAATGACCTTTTTTTAACAAGGTCACAATGTGCAAGCATTTCAGGAAGGAAGCAAACACTAGCAACTGCTTTGCATCAAACTCCACGTCTCATCATGCACTCAATGCCTTATGATCACCAGAGTCTTCATCTAGGCTAAAAAGTGAAGGGCAAGATCACTGAAGCTTTTTTAAATTTTTTTAACAAGGTCCAAGATGTAAGCACATTCTTTGTGTAAAATGCGGTCCATCTTAGTGTAGTCATTCACTTGATAACCTCCTCACAAATTCCCCCTAACACTTCAGGTATAAACAAGTTCTTATAATGAAAAATGTCTTTGATGAACTCCTCACAAATTCAAATATAGACTTCAGATCAAGTATGGTAACATCTTTTTTTTTACATTTTTTTCTTCATGTAGTTTTTTTTTACATTTTTTCTTCATGTAGAATGTGGTCCAACTGGGTGTAGTCATTCACTTGATAACCATGCCTCAAATTCCCCCAACACTTCAGATTCGAACAAGTTCTTATAACAGAGAATGTCTTTGATAAACTTCTCACAAATTCTTCAATCTTGGGTGCTCAGCTACTGGCAATAAGAGCCTTGTTTTTGAAGAAAAAAACAAATGTCGCACAAGGCATCATAGATTGATCTCTCTGCCCTTTCTATTACCAGCTTATTAGAGCTACTTTATAAAACTCTTACTGTCTTACAGAGGTTGCAGCTACGGTTTCATTAACGTCCTTGCTGGTTCTGGAAACTACCTCTATTACAAGTTCACAATATGCAAGCGTTTCAAGTGGGAAGTGATCAACTTCTGAAAACTGGTTTGCATCTAATACTCTTGCAGATGAATTCCACATTTGACTGCTTAATGTCCTTGATCACCACAATCTTCATCTTTTTGAATTTCTTTAACAAGGTCCAAGATGTAAGCATGTTCTTCACGTAGAATACGGTCCATCTGGATGTAGTCATTCTCTTAATAACTTTGTCCTAAATTCCCCATAAGACTTCAGATTTGAACAAGTTCTTATGATGGGGAATGTCCTTGGATTAAGTCCTGCATTCTCTGCCAGATTTGAAGGAATTACTTCTATGAGTTCTGCAAATGCCCTTACACAGTAAGCTTCTTTACCACATAGGCTTCTTGGCTATTCCATCAATGGTAGGCAACCACATATCTCGGGTGCTCTGCCACTTGCAATTAGCGGCTTTTTTTTATGAGAAATCAGATGACGCACAAGGCATCATTGATTGATATCTCTGCCCCTTCTATTACCAGCTTATTGGAGCCTCTCACTAAAACTGTTACTGCCTTACCAGGGCTTGCAGTTTCAGTAACCTTAACAGCCTTGCTAGTTCTGAAATGACCTCTTATACAAGTTCAAAATGTGATAAGTGGTTCAGGTAAAAAGCTATTAATACTAGCAACTGGTTTGCATCCAATACTCTTGCAGATGGACTCCCCACCTGACCGCTGAATGTTCTTGATCACCACAATTTTCATCTTGGCTAAAAACTGAAGGGCAAAATCACTGCCTGTATCCCTTACTATAGACCTCTGAATAAGCAGCACAATGCAACCAGCTTTTTTAATCTTTTAAAAAGTTCCAAGATGCAAGCATGTTCTTCACATACAGTAGAATGCGGTCCATCTGGATATGGTTAAAATAAAAATAAAACAAACATGTATTGGTAACACCTTTCTTACATTGATGCCAGCAGCAGTTACATAATGGTGATGTGTGACTACTCAGATAGGATTAAGTCCTGTGTTCTCTGCCAGAGTTGAAAAAAATCACTTCCAGGCCTCTGCAAAAGCTCTTACACAGTAAGCTTCCATACTGGATAGCCTTCTTGAGTATTTCATTAAACGGTAGGCAACCTTGGTCTCGGGTGCTCCGTATTTTTGACGAGACAATGTGTTTGAATTCTTTTAAGAACATAAGCCAACCCTCTTTAAATAAGGTTCAAATAGCAATACAGTAAAAGAAACATGTATTAGCAACACCTTTTTAACATTGATGCCAGCGGCAGTTTCACCATGGGCATGTTAATTCCTAAGATCTGTGACTACTGAGATGGGGTTAAGTCCTGTATTTTCTGCCAGGACTTACCCCATCTCAGTAGTCACAGTTGAGGTTAAGCCATGCATTCATTGCCTGAGTTCTGGAAATCGCTTAAATGACCTCTGCAAATGCTCTTACAAAGTATGCTTCTATACCACTCAGGATTCTTGAGTATTTCATCAAATGGTAGGCAACCTCAGTCTCGGGTGCTCCGCCACTGGTGATGAGCACCTTGTTTTCGATGAGAAAACAGATGATGCGCAAGGCATTATGGATTGATCTCTCTGCCCCTTCTATTACCAGCTTACTAGAGCCTCTCAATAAAACTGTTACTGTCTTACCAGGGGTTGCAGCTCCGGTAATCTTACCGTCCTTGCTGGTTCCAGCAACGACCTCTTCTACAAATTTACCATATACAATTGTTTCAGGTAGGATGTGATAATCAATGGCAACTGGTTTGCATCCAATACTCTTGCAGATGAATTCCATGTCTGATAGCTCAATGTCCTTGATCACCGCAATCTTCATCTTGGCTAAAAAGTGAAGGGCAAAATCACTGCCTGTATCCCTTAGTATAGACTTCTGAATAAGCAGCACAATGCGACCAGCTTTTTTAATCTTTTAAAAAGTTCCAAGATGCAAGCATGTTCTTCACATAGGCAACCTCAGTCTCGAGTGCTCCTCCACTGGTGATGAGCACCTTGTTTTCGATGAGAAAACAGATGATGCGCAAGGCATTATGGATTGATCTCTCTGCCCCTTCTATTACCAGCTTATTAGAGCCTCTCAATAAAACTGTCACTGTCTTACCCGGGGTTGCAGATCCGGTAATCTTACCGTCCTTGCTGGTTCCAGCAACGACCTCTTCTACAAATTTACCATATACAATTGTTTCAGGTAGGATGTGATAAACAATGGCAACTGGTTTGCATCCAATACTCTTGCAGATGAATTCCATGTCTGATAGCTCAATGTCCTTGATCACCGCAATCTTCATCTTGGCTAAAAAGTGAAGGGCAAGATCACTGCCTGTATCCCTTAGTATAGACTTCTGAATAAGCAGCACAATGCAACCAGCTTTTTTAATCTTTTAACAAGGTTCAAGATGTAAGCACGTTCTTCACATAGAATGCGGTCTTGCAGACCCTTTTACTCCTGCAGATGAATTCCACATTAGACTGCTTAATGTCCTTGATCACCACAATCTTCATCTTTTTGAATTTCTTTAACAAGGTCCAAGACGTAAGCATGTTCTTCATGTAGAATACGGTCCATCTGGATGTAGTCATTCTCTTAATAACCTTGTCCTAAATTCCCCATAAGACTTCAGATTTGAACAAGTTCTTATAATGGGGAATGTCCTTGGATTAAGTCTTGCATTCTCTGCCAGAGTTGAAGGAATCTCTACCAGCCTCTGCAAAAGCTCTTACACAGTAAGCTTCCATACTGGATAGACACTGGATAGACTTCTTGAGTATTTTATCGAATGGAAGGCAACCTCTTTCTCAGGTGCTACACCACTGGTGATGAGTTTTTGACAAGACAATGTGTTTGAATTCTGTTAAGAACATTAGGCAACCCTCTTCAAATATGGTTCAAATAAAAATATAACAAATATGTATTTGTAACATATTTCTAACATGCCAGCAGCAGTTTCACCATGGCCATGTCGATTCCTGAGAACTGTGACTACTGAGATGGAGTTAAGTCCTGTATTCTCTGCCAGAGTTGAAGGAATCACTCCCATAGCACTTTGTTTTTGAAGAAAAAAACGGATGTCGTACAAGGCATCATGGATTGATCTCTCTGCCACTTCTATTACCAGCTTATTAGAGCCTCTCGCTAAAACTGCTACGGTCTTACCAGCGGTTGCTGCTTCAGGAACCTTAACGTCATTTCTGTGTCCAGCAACGACCTTTTCTACAAGTTGATTACTTCCAGTGTTGATCACTTCCTACCTGAACAAATATGCAACTTTTTCAGGTAGGAAGTGATCAACACTGGCAACTGGTTTGAATCCAATACTCTTGCAGATGAACTCTACGTCTGATCACTCAATATCCTTGATCACCATAATCTTCATCTTGGCTAAAAATTAAAGGGCAAGATCATTGACTGCTTCCCTAAGTATACACTTCTGAATAAGCAGCACAATGCAACCAGGCTTTTTAATCCCAAAAAGGTCCAAGATGTAAGCATGTTCTACACATAAAATGCAGTCCATCTGAGTGTATGTCATTCACTTGATAACCTTCTCCCAAATTCACCCTACACTCCTAATGCGCACAAGTTTTTATAAAAGGAAATGTCCTTGGTAAACTTCTCGCATATGCCCCCTATTGCTTCAGATTCAAACAAGCTCTTATGATCGGGAATATCTAGGTAAACTTTTCACAAATCCTCAAATGTGTTTGAATTCTGTTAGGAACATTAGCCGACTCTCTTTAAATATGGCTCAAATAAAAAATAAAACAAACATGTATTGGTAATATCTTTCTAACATTGATGCCCACAGCAGTTTCACCATGGGCATGTCGGTTTCTGAGAACTGTGACTACTGAGAAGGGGTTAAGTCCTGTATTCTCTGCCAGAGTTGAAGGAATCACTATCATGGCCTCTGCAAAAGCCCTTACACAGTAAGCTTCCATATCGGATATGGTTCTTGAGTATTTCATCAAACAGTAGGCAACCTCGATCTCGGGTGCTCCGCCTATGGCTATGAGTGCCATGTTTTGGACGAGACAACGGATGACGCACAAGGCATTATGAATTGATCTCTCTGCCTCTTCTATTACCAGCTTATTAGAGCCGCTCACTAAAACTGTTATACTGCCTTACCAGGTTAAATTTAACAGCCTTTCTGGTTCCGGCAACGACTTCTTCTACAAGTACATAATATGCAAGCGTTTCAGGTAGAAAGTGATCAACACTAGTAACGGGTTGGCATCCAATACTCTTGTAGATAAACTTCAGGTCTGATAGCTCAATATCCTTGATATCACCACAATCTACATTTTGTGCTATAAAAAGTGAAGGGCAAGATTATTGACTGCAACGATTAGTATAGACTTCTGAATGAGCAGCACAATGCACCAGCTTTTTAAAGAGGTCCAAGATTTAAGCATGTCCTTCATGTAGAACATCTGGGTGTAGTCATTCACTTGTTAATCTTCTCACTTTTCACATACTGTATTCCCACTAAGATCTCAGATTCGAACAAGTTCTTAAAATGGAGAATGTCCGTGATAACCTTCTCACATATTCTTTACGAACAAGTTCTTACTATAATAGGGAATGACCTTGATAATCTTTTCAGAAATTCTGCTGATTTCAAAATTTGAACATGTTCCTCTAATGGGGAATGTCCTTGGTAGCCTCCACATAAATTCCCTGAAGAAATGGGGAATGTCCTTGGTAACTATCTTACAAATTCCCCCTAAAACTTTAGACTTGAACAAGTTCTTATAATGGGGAATGTTCTTGGTAACTGTATCAAAAATGCCTTTTAATACCTCTTATCATCATGCTAACAAGCTGATGGTTGCATATGGAAATGGTGTCCTATTTGCACCCCAAAGACACATGTTTCAGCCTTTACTTATAACATGGACCTATTGATAAGATCCATGCTTATAACATACAGTACAGTATATATGACTTTAAAATAATGGTCCAAGCGGATTATATTCCGACAATCTTTCCTCTAACTGGTGGAAAGTAAATTTTAAAAATTGGTGTAGTTTAATCTAAAAAACTGATCAATACTGGTACATATCTATATGAAAAAAACTTAGGTTTAAGTCACAATTATCAACTGGGTTTTTCATTGTTGTAAAGTGATTGAAGCTTATTGCAAAATGTGTTAAGAGTGGCATTTCTATGATTATCTAAATGTAGTCAAAGAAACTTGTGTATCAGTTAATGGGTTTCCATGCCAATGACTTAATTCTTGTCTACATTTTATAGTTTAAACAAAAACTTGTAATTTAATGACCTTCAGTCAACAAGTGGGGTAAAAAAAAAACTCTTGTCTTGCATACATTCATCACGAAATGTTAATGAATACTGTAATATAACTATAATGTATAATGAATATCTGATTGTGAATAAATGACCTTTGGTCAACAAAAGAAAAAAAAACTATCTATGCAAAAGAACAGAGGAAATGTCATTTAGTTGAAGGGGCAAATAAATTTTGTATTTTGCACTTTCTAAACAGGTTGGGCTGTGACAGGGGCAGAGGGTGCTAAACAGGCATTAGCCCATTTCCCCTCCCGCCTCTCCAAACAGTTTATCAACATAATTATGTTTATTTTCATGACTGTGAAATAAGAAAGTTGGTCTATACTTTTATTTAGAGCTTCCGAAATAGTTTATCAACCACACCCATGATATAATGGGGTGGGGGGGGAGAGGCCCAATATGTCTATGTTGGTGTTGGTTCAAACCATCTGGAGCTTTTGGAAGCCATCTAATGAAAAATCTTTGATCCACCCTGGATACCAAATATAATTTTACTAAACGGAATGGACATAATATTATACAGAGCATAAAATATTAGGTACATTCAAAACACAAAGGTGCAGTTTTATTATATCCATATGATCACAAGTTTTTGACAAATTGGCAATTTTACTTTAATAACAGTTTGTAAATTAACCAATACAATTCATGTGATGCATATGCAGCTGCTAAAAAAATTATTCAGTGAGAACCAACTGTTATTGTGGATTGTATATTGTATTTTGGTTTTCCATTACACACCTATATTTACAGTATCTACACAAATTGCTAGTACAAGTAGTGACAGACATAACATCTGTCAAAAATACTTAAAAAACTGAATAAGTCATTCAAAATACACAACTGAGTAAAAATACATATAATTTAGATTAAAGTAGATAAAGATATGGTATTGCTACGCAAGAAAAACAGATACAATATATATAAGTCAAAACTGTGGATTTAATTATGAGGTTGAAGAAAATCTAATGAGCCCTAATCTTTAAATAATTATCATCAAATTAACCAAACCTAACATGAAACCAATATTGTTGATTGCATGGTATCGTCCGCCAAACTCTTGTAATGATTCTTTTGAAGCGTTTGGAGATATACTAGAACAAACTGAAGTCAACAATATGAATGATGAAATAATTATAATTGGGGACTTAAACTGTGACCTTCTAACAGAATCTCCTTCTCACTACACATCCAAATTGAAAGAACTAACAGACAGTTATCACTTAAAACAAATGATCTCTGAAGCTACACGTATCACTGATAATTCAAGCACACTAATAGACCACATATATGTATCTTCACCAGAAAGAGTAAGGAAAAGTGGTGTTCTCCATACTGGCCTGAGTGATCACTCAGCTATATATATTGAATTTGGCAAGGTAAATAAACAGAAAAATAAACACAGATATAAGAAATGTAGAAACTTTAAAAATTTTGATGAAGCAAAGTTTAGACCAGATATATTAAATGTAAACTGGACAGAAATCACAACTTACACAAATGTGGATGATGCTGTTCAATATTTTTAGGAAACATTTCTAAATATTGCCAATAAGAATGCACCGATAAAATGTAAAAGGATGAGACACAAAAACAGCCCATGGCTAACGCAAAAAGTCTTAAAGCTTATGAGAGAAAGAGATGTTCTAAAAAGGAGAGCAAATAAGAAAAATGAACCCCATATGTGGACCGAATATAGGAAACTAAGAAATAAAGTTAACATTGAACTTAGAAAATGCAAAAAAGAGTATTTTACAGAACAATTAAATACAAAAGACCCAAAGAAGATTTGGGATAATATCAGATTTATAGTACCAGGTAAGAATAAAAATACGAACATAGCAAGTGTGAAAACTAATAATGGTGATATAACTAATCCAGAAGATATTGCAAACACATTAAACCAGTACTTTGCAAATATTGGTCCAACACTTGCCGAAAATATTCCTCATGTTGACCCACCTGTCAATACAAATAATAATGATACTACTAATAATACTAATAATACTAACAATGATAAATTTACTTTTGGAAATGTTGAAGTAGAGTATATCTATACACTCTTAAACTCGCTTTCATCAAAAAAATCTACTGGAATTGATAAAATACCAGCTAATATGGTTAAACTTGTCATTGATATAATTGTTTATCCTGTAACTTACATTGTAAATTTGTCCCTCTCAAATTCATCTGTTCCAAAAAAGTTGAAAAAAGCTCAAATTTGCCCAGTGCATAAAGGAGGTTCTAGAAATGACTGCAATAATTACAGGCCAATTTCAGTCCTTCCAGTTCTATCAAAAATCCTTGAAAGAACTGTTTTTGAACAATTGTATCATTTTTTAAACCAAAATGACATGCTATATGAAAATCAATCTGGCTTTAGGCCAGGCTATTCAACAACAACCGCATTACTAAATATCACAGAAAACTGGTTAGAAGCAATTGATAAAGGAAACCTTATAGGAATAGTAATGATTGACCTTAAAAAGGCATTTGACACAGTAGACCACCACAAACTAATCAACAAGCTTTATTCTTTCAATCTTCACCTAAAAAACCGGGCAGCAAAAATTATTACAGACAAATCAAGAAGTGACTCCAGTACACAAGCTCTTCAAAGCCTTAAATGGATGAATTTGGAACAACGATTGTATATAAATGAGACTATTATCATGTTTAAAATTATGAACAACCTTGCACCTCAATATCTATCAAACATATTTCACTTTAGAAATAATTACTATGATACCAGAACTAAACCAATATTAACACTACCAATACCAAAACCAAAAACTGACTATAAAAAAAAAAGCTTATCATATAGAGGTGCAAAGATTTGGAATGAACTAAATGACAATCTAAAAAATTGCAAAAACATTTCCTTATTTAAAAAACATATTATGGCAATTTTGTAAAGAATTTGTATTTTTATTTTTTTATTTTTTTTATTTTTTTTAATTTTTTTTATTTATTTATTTATTTTTATATTACATTTATTTATTTATTTATTTTTTTATTTTTTTTTTTTTTTTAATGAAACTATTATTGTATTTTCTCTGCTAGTGTAAACTTTCTATTTTATCAAATTCAGTAGTTAGTAGTATTAGTTATTCAATTAGTAATTAGTGATAAGCATAAGTGAATATCAAAAACAGTAGTTAAGTTTGTGTACTATATTTAATTTTAATTTTACAAAGTGTTGTAGTTATTATTTTTTATACTGTAAAATTTGTGCCTTATACACGGCCTTGCAGAAAAACAACTGCTAGTTGAGCCAAGTTTCCGTGTTGAAATAAAGCTTATTATTATTATTATTATACAGTAAATTTTAATTTAACAAGCTTTTTCCAAAAAATAATGGGGCTCTATTAGTATCAGGTGTAGTGTACTTCCACTGATGAAGGCCCATCAATTGGGCAAAAGCTTGAGGGAAAATATGTATTATTAGTCGTACAAGAGCTACCAACTGATTAATTAATACTTTATACTTCATACATTCACATGCATTTTTTATAGTGTAAAACTGATCTTTTTATCTGCCTTTTTACATAACTCCCAAATTAGTTGGTGTCTGATGCGCAAAAAAAAATTAAAAATTGTATATAGCGTCCTCTATGTAGTAATCCAGAAAAAGAGCACATCTATGTTATTACAGTTCTCAGTCAGTATAACTTCATTAAAGAATATGGCCTGCATTCAGATTTTAATGACAAATTTGTTTCATTTTTTTATAAATTTTAGGGTATAATCATCCTATAAATTTTATCTAAAACATTTTTATGTGAGATAATACATGTAGTGTTATATAGCGTTAAGGTAATAATGTAATTGTTTGTTATAGGTCAATCCAACTATACAGTATGTCTTGAACTTTGGCCACACTAAACAGCTTCACCCCCTCAAACACACCTGTTATATCTTAATGTGACAACACAAGCTTTAGCGTGATGTGGTCAAGTTTTCAAGAGTTACATAATTTAGACTAATAGTTGGATCTTTATGAATTACCAGTTCTCACCTATTTATAAAACCAACTTCGTAAACAGAACCATCAATTAAGTATCAGTTTTACCTTCCAAAGTTTTGGAACCCTGGATATTATCTGACCAACAGAAACTCCCAAGAGTGATGTAATGATCAAATGATTAGGGTAAGGTGACATCCCTCAACCAATGAGAATAACCACCACAACCAAAGTGGTATCTTAAGAAGGCAAGCATAATCTTGATCGAAAAGAGGCTTCCTTCTGATGCCTTGATAGTCTGGTTGTAAAACTGCTGAAATGAACTTTAGCGGGAAAAAAGTAAAGGAAAATTAATTTTTGGTTTTTCTGAATCAGCATACCCTATAGTGTCTCAGAAAAAAAATCCCCATGCCTAGGGCTTGTCTCTTATACACATCT